CTCGCAGCCTTCTCTTCTTCAGGCTAAACAAGCCCAGCTCCCTCAGCCTTTCCTTGTAGGAGAGATGCTCCAGTCCCCTCATCATCTTTGTATGACACGCCTCAGTTTTCTGCCTCTTTAAAGAAGAGTTCTCAGCTTTACAAGGAAGCCACCAGATTTTTACTAACTTGTGTTCTGATTTTTTCAGCTGTCACAGTCACGAGTACTAAAAACACGCCGATGAAGGCCCCAGCATGGTCCCCAGTCTGCCTCTTAATCTGTGGCTTACTTTTGTAAGTTCAAATCAATTGATGAAGGAACTGACTCTCGGGGCGCTGCGCAGGCAGAGCTGCCATTAAATTAAGCTCTGAACTAGCAAAAATTCATGCACGTGGCTGACTCTGGGCACTCGGAGCAGTCTGGCTGGAGCATGTTGTTGACTTCTGTAGGATTACCTACACTCTACTTTCTGTTGTTAATTTCTTCAGTGGAAAAGTTGGGTTAAGAATTCCCACCCTCTTCCTACCGCTCATTTCCACCTCCGCACCGCACTGCTCAGTGTTTCGCGAGGGTGTGCTTTACATGAGCTCAGCAAGGAACTCCAGCATCCGCTACAATGTGTAACCATGCTCCTTTCATCACCACTTTCGGAGACAGTTTCCTTCCAGCCTACTCGCCTCCCTTTCTGTTGACATGAATGAGCATCTGGTAAGTCAGGCCAGCTTTCTGATCTGTCTGAAAAGTAACCAAGGGAAGTTTTTTTGAGTGAGATCATTGAGCTGATTCAGTTACTGTTCAACCACGTGAATGCGAGTACAACCGTGTGAATGCTAGCACTGGCACAAGGGGACGGCAGCCTCCTTCACAGACAATGTCATTTTAGGCTGGCTTAAGCCAACTGCAGCATCGCACCCGCTTGTGCACAAAAACTTAAGCATGGCTTAAATGTTTGCAGAGTGGGCAAACAGATTTTTGTTTTATCTTTCGGAAAGTTGCATGTTGCAAATTAATGCTCTTTTGTATCAGCTTTAAAGCTATTGCATCGTTGCCATCTGCTATCTGTTCGCAGAACATTGAAGCACAACATTTTAGCTCTAAGGTACAGGAGAAAGGTGCCCTACAACCTGTTAAAGCTTCAGGTTGGTTGACCTCATACACACCAAGCAACCCTTTAGAAGGATTTTATTCTAAAGAGAAAAGGCTAAAGCACAGGATTAAATTCTGTTCTCTGAAAGGACCGAGAAATACTGCAAGACAATGAAACAGAGCGAGATAGTTGTCTTTGTGATGCCCCTGCGAAAGTACGTGCATGGGAGAGGAGGAGTTAGACAAGACTGGTTACCTTGCCACAGAAAAGATACATTAGGTTGGTTTCGCATGATTCGTTCTCAGTAAACCTAGTATTGAGTGGTGTTTGTCAGCCTGGCTAGCTATTAGCATATTTTATTTATTTCTGTCTTTTTAGTCAGGGTCCTGACTGCTCTGGTGGAGGTGGAATTCTGTTGCCACCTTCTTTTTCTGCCTCTTGAAGACAAGCTTTTCTGGTGCCCTTTTCCAGCCTTCCTACACTTCACCAACTACAAGCTCAGAGGCTGGGGAGCCAGTTCTCTAAGCGCCTCAGATGGGAATTTTACATTTCAAAATGTGCCCTTTTGAAAGCACTGAAGTAATGGAAATTCTCTTAGATGAGCTCTTTCCATGTTCTGTCGTGAGCTCTCACTGTCACTGGCATTTGTTGAATTAATTCTCAAATCACAGTGCAAGGAGAAGGCACACAGTCCACTTCTGGCTTAAAATCAACTCCCGACTCAGTGCAAGTTGGGTTTTGTCTAACTGATTTAGTGTTACAGCTTCTGCCATCTTCCCAGTGAAACAGGAGTTTGAATGGCAATGTATCATCAGTGGGATAAAATATCAGTTGTGCTGTTTGGAACGAAGCCGTGCACGCCTCCAGAAGATACGGTGCCCAAGGCCCTGGTTCTCCAGACTGCTCCAGCTGAAGTTGAGCTCCCTGAGAGCACGGCAGCCTCTCCACGCTGGTCCAGACAAGTCCCAAACCAAAGCAATGAGCAAGTCAGGGTGGTAGCCAGGAGAAAGAGGTCCGACAGGGGAGTATTGTTGGGTCACATGGGTGGCCTAAGGGCTTGTCCCTGCACACAGCTATTTCTTATTCCTGGTTTGTTTGTATGTAGATCTTCTCAGAGTAAGCCATTGTTTAGTTTAGTCTGGAGTAAATTAAGCAGGAACAAGTCCATGTAGAATAAAGCCCTGAGAAGTGACTTGATGTCCCAGGTCTTTTGAAAGTGATTAAATGTTTCTATAGGTTCTTTTTAAGTGGAGCTTTGCAAAAGCAAGACTGACTACCACTACCACCCTAGCTTTAAACACATTGTCCTCTGTCTGTTGCCTAACCTGCCAGATTAAATGATCACACGCTAACTGCCTAGGACAACCAGCTCCAGTCTGACGATATCCAGCTTAACAAACACACATGAGCTTTATTAACCGTTAGTGAAGGTCACATCGCCTATTGGAACAGCCTCTGTGCTGTCACCATACGTGTCAGGGGTTGCAGGCTCCTTCCTTCCTTCCAGCTGCAGCACCTGGTCCCCCGAAGGGCTCGGGCCCCGAGATCATCACAGCTCTTGCTCCCACGGACAACTAAAAACCAGAGGCGCACCACAGGCTGCTGCTTCACAGCCCCCCTGGACAGCCCCCAGCCCCAGAGCAGGCTGGCCCACGTCTTGCAGGCCGAGGCGGTGAGGGTCTTCTTGAACAGTCTTGTTCAACTTCTTCATCGATGACCTGGATGAAGAGTTAGAGTGTACCCTCAGCAAGTTTGCTGATGACACAAAACCGGGAGGAGTGGTAGATACACCGGAAGGCTGTGCTGCCATTCAGCGAGACATGGACAGGCTGGAGAGTTGGGCAGAGAGGAACCTGATAAGGTTCAACAAGGGCAAGTGCAGGGTTCTGCACCTGGGGAGGAACAACCCCATGCACCAGTACAGGCTTGGGGCAGACCTGCTGGAGAGCAGCT